GTTGTATGGCGTCACTGCATGTCACCTACTATTTAGCCGAAAAGTCCTCTGTTTTTCTATTTTTTTCAGACGTACGGCCTACTTTTGGGCATTCTATCGCAACGTGTTCCACAATTGAAGATACTTTTTATGCCGTTTAAATGCGAACAATCGCACCTTTTGTTTTCTATTTCCTGTTTCTTTTCCAGGAATTCCTCATGAATCATTAAACACTTATATTATCGTGCTAATAAATTTCTAACCTGAAATGACTGGAGGATCATGTGGCGAAGTGGTGCGTTCTATTCTACGATCGCACTGTGACGGATCTCAAGGCAGCATCGAATATATCGAGGTGAAAACGGCGTTTTATTATTTGTTTTTATTATTGCTTGTTTGTTTTCCATCATTCTTCTTTTTCGTACTTTTTCTTGCTCGCCTGTTGGGTCCGCAAACAAAAGAACTTTTGCATGCTTTCATTTTGTTTGTTTTGCAGTTGTTTTTGGACTTCGAGAATGCTTCTCCGCGTGAGGAAGAACGCTATCTGTTTGACCTCTGTGAAAAGATACTAAACCAGTGTACAGAAGTGCTTGCTGATGTGAAATGCTATGGAAAAGGTGAGCGTTCGTAATTTATGCCCTGAGGGATGAACCGTCAATAACAAAAACATTGTGTAACACGATACGGATGTCTTCTCTTGATTTGTTTCCTGGGCACATCTTGCCGTTGGGGAAATTTTGCAAATACGCCCCCCCCAGAGCTCCACCTCGTACGACCTCTTCCCCATCCTATCCACCATCATTCTGAATGCTCCCAACTTCTTATCCCCTTCGCGGGTTTTTTCCTCAGTAGTTCTCCAGTTTTTCCCCATAGAGCTGCCGTGTGGCGCATATAACGGGGTGTAGGGCAGGGCACATCGTTGGTTGGGATTTTAATCGAGTCTGTACGACCCCCCCCTTTTTTTTTGGGGGGGGGTTGGCACGGCCCCTCCCGCTCCAGTCCCTCCGTCCCTCCTCAATCCGAACTCGAGCCGTCGAGGGGGGGGGAAGAGCATCATATAGTTACGCTGAAACAGGAAAATGTCCATTAAAGTCAAACCACACATTCTTAGCAACGCCAAAACGTAAATACGATTCCCACCCCTTCTGTCCGGTCTCAGGGCACTTGTCAACCGAGAAGCCTCTCCTCTCTTTCCTTTTTCCTTCCTCCCTCCTCTTTTCGCGTTCTTACCTATCTCGTGATCCCTCCTCCTTTACCTTCTCCCTTCAACTACTGGACTGGTAGATGCCTCGTGAAAATAACCCTGGACCCTCGCAGCGAGAGCACGTCTGGTTGACAACAGCCCCGTAACCCTTCCCTCCCAACAGTGACCAAGTACGCCCCCCCCCCCCTCCCTTTTACAAACGTCGTGAAGGCGGGAAAAATCAAGCTATCCGTTGTGGATTCCCAACGACGCATGTGCCCTGATGTAGGACGAACGGAAACGACGTGAAACGAGAAAAAGTGAAAAGTCAACAAGTGAAAACATCATGATTAAAGGCAAATATGACCTCCCCCAATCCAGCGACCAAATACCCCTGCCGTCGCTTAAGGGTTAGTAACTTGCGAAGTGTCCCTTTTTTTTTTTACCGTTTCATAAGCTGACTTCTTCTTTTACTTTGATGTTCCCTCTCTTTTCTTGTCGTATAAGGCAAAGAGAACAACGTTGAAATCAATTCAAATTAAATTAGCTTCAATCTCGTCATTGTCTTCAAGTTCAGTCGAATGAAGTTGCTGCTGGTATATCCTGTTAACTAAACACTTTTTGTTGCTTTCCCCAAACATCGGTTATCCATTCTTGCATCAGTTTTCCTGCAACCCTCTAAAGTATGTTTAATGTTCTAATGGAGTAACTTTCATTCTGAGACAGCTTGGAAATATAAGAATTTCCCGAAAAATAACGGTCGGATTCAAGCGAGGCCGCTTATCCGATTTATGAGGTTATGAACTCAAACATGTCATTAAGGCGCAACTGACGAAGTTCGGCAATCTCTGCAGAATCCGCATGATCTTGCTTTGAGAGATTTGGCTTTGAGTGTGGTGTGCCCGGATTTTGATTGGCAAAGGATACGGAGTGCTATTTTCAAACTTGTCACTGACGGATCGAAAGGTTTGCTTCTCAGAGATGGGCGCCCCACTGTCTGTCATGTTAAGGTGGGGTGTCATCAGTGAAGAAGACGCTTCAGTTCCCCCGAGTCAATCCAGTATGTAAGCTTGTGAGGATGGATTACCTAACGGCGGGTTTCATTAAAGGCAGTTGGCACGATGGTTTCCCACTCGGCCTAAAATGCTAGTAGGGCGCTATGTAGTGGGGAAATGGCGAAAGAACGGAGTGAAACGGTCAAAATCCGGCGAAGAAAAGCCTCCGTTCTCAGTGACTTGAAAATCGATTTCGGACGAGTTTCCCGTACGGCATCTTGCCAATCACCGCTACCGAAGATACGGCTGCATATGTGTACCCATATATGCATGCAGCATCACGCCGCTTCATACCAATCCCTTTGCTTCATAATTTGCTCAGCAAATGAATGAATACGAGCGTCAGGAACGGTCGTCCGTTTGTGGGCGGGCGGGCGAGGAAGGCGTTTGGGACGGAATGTTGTTGCTCGATAGGGCGTTATAGGGGTACCCTCCTTGGAAAAGGCGCCACGGAGCGCCTGTCCGAGGTCACGGAATTCTGTTAAGCCAGTCGTATAAATCCTACATCTGTATAGCAATTTATCGTGCCAACTGCCTTTAGAGATAGTTGGCGCTGGTCGTCTAAGCGGATATAGAGGACCATCGTTTCTCCCAACATCAGCAGTTCTGAAATCTCACAGGTTTTTCTCTCTGTCTCAATGAATTCACTCTCTGATATCAATTTTCTTTGGGAAATCGTTGAACGGGGGTAGTCTACGAGTGAAATCTAAAGTGTTGTTGACCAATGTGCTGCAGTAATGAAGACAGTTTTATATTTGTAAAGTGATATGAATAGTTCGACTTTATATTAGCTCTTCAGCTGGTGCCGGAATTATTGTGGGATCTTTGTTCTGGGCCGCTTCCACCCGAAGAGCAACTGGACAGAAAACAGTCGTTAGCTCGGCAGTTAGCCCGTCTAGTTGACTTTGTTCTGGATTTTGACGCTGTAAAGGTGCGTTCGGATATTTTTTCGTCGTATTTTTTTTACCTCTGAGCTGTTTTTGTTTGACAGTCACTGACCGAAAGGGATCAGACCCTTGTATCGCAAGTTCCAAGTTGTTTTCGTGCGTCTGTAAGGCGATTATAGGTTTTGTGCTCGGATAATCGCAGCTATTAGGGCGCAGAATAGTCAAACTTATCGGAGGAGTTTCTAACATCTGAATTGATTTGATTGTACATTCCAAGACACAATTATTTCCTATACAAAAAAGTGCTAAATATACAATATAGTAATTACTAAATTGCTGAATTTCTTCTGAGTTTACGTTCAAGTGAAGTAATCATTGAAACAAGAACACGTCTTGTTCAAAAAGTGAGACATGCAGAACTCTCACCAGCGTCTAAATGTTGTCTCTCTATCCCTCCACCGATTTCGCCAGTCCTTCAAATATTCACTTGATTTTTGTCAGATTGTGCTTGCTTTCTTTACTCATAATGCTGAGTTCCACATTGTAAATATGCAGCATTTTTCGGTGAAGCTCCATCACAGGCAATCACTGGCACCAGAAGCAGGTACTTTAGAAAAGCGTTCATACCGTGCGACATTGGAGAATGGGGGAATCGAAAAATCCGCAAATCCACCGGGAGAATGGATATGTATCGATCTGGAAAAACGGAAATCCTACTACTCCAAGTCTCCAGTTGAATGGCTCCACCTTGGCGATCAATTGACAGATATTTAGTTTTTTTTAGCAGATTTTGCCATTCCTCCAGGTCGATACACAACCTTCCTTCGGCCGTTTCTGCAAATTGCGTCAAATGTTGCGAGGTTATGAACACGGCTCGAAAGGATATCAAAAATGGAGTAACTTACTTCTTTATATCGCTTTTGAAAAACTGCCATATTGGAGGCAGGGTACAGCATCGTGATGCGTGAAATGGCGATGTCAGTACGACTCCCTCCCCAAAACTTCTTCATCTGCTACGACAGTCCCTCTCTTAATCGCTACGTCTCTATCCTAAATTTTCCTAGTTTTCCCAATTCACAGAAACAGCCACTTCCCTTTTTTTCGAGAAACGTGGCCGTTAAGTGGCGGTGCAAACTTCTGTATTTTCAACAAATGTTTTGTGTTCGCTTGTCGATGTCACGCTACGCTCAATGTGCGACAAATAGAAAAATTGATGAAACCAACGCACCGCAACTCTTCATGGGATTCTCCGTTCTGAATTCTAGGTTTGGAAAAACCTCCACAAATAGCACGGGCGGTATGCTTTGATGTTGTAATATCCAGACGTTTTCTTGCCGCTTGTTCACTTCGAAGGGTGGTGATTAAATCGCTAGTACTTACTAATTTTGTCTTTTTCAATGTTGTTCTCTAGAATAATGAAAGGATCACCAACTTCATGCACATTCCTATTTCAGATGTGCACTCCTGCTCTACAGAACGACTTCAGTCACTATCGACGAGGAATTGGGTTGGGGCTGCTTGACAACAACGCATCGTAAGCATTTGCTGTATTTTCACATCTACTTTTCTCATTACGAGTATGTTCAGAGAGATAGAGCTTGCAAATTCCATATCTCTATTTCTTGCTGCTCCTACTCCAATGTTGTCAAGCCTGAGCTCTGCAACGTTAGAATTCGTACGATCTCATCCGACACTTCCAATCGGAAACACAACTGATACCCTAGCCACCATTGTCAGGTGAGTCTTTTCGTGAATAACTAACCTATACTTATTGCCGGCGTGTCTGACCTTTTTGAGACTTTCATATGACTCGCTCGCTTTGTCCGTCTCCTGCTGAAGTCTTGTGATGGATCCAAAGTGTCTACCTCTTTCCCTGGCTCGACGGCTTTCCTTTTTTTTGGAGAAGTTTTGATTAGAACGAGGGCGCGCCATGCAAGAGGAAGATTTCGGGGTGGAGATGGGCAAAAATGTCTCACAATGGTATAATGTGCTCTGATGTTCATGCGACACGGAAGAATTGAACGCGTGTCAAAAAAGTGGTGCAAGTACTGGTCCGATGAGCTGGGATAACAGGGGAACAGGAGAATGCGGGCTTAACGAGAAGATAGAAATGAATCTGGAACGCGACACCATTCGGCTTGAGAGGGGCATTTTGCACCTTTGCTAGTTCCTGTTGAATCACATGTCACCACTTGTCACTTCGTAAGACCTGCAGGTTCCTGTCAATGTTGACGAAGCTGTTGTGCAGCTTAACTGAGTGCAAAATGTCCTCACCAATCCAATCTGCGCCATTGGAACTATCAGACCAAATCAAAACAGTCCAGATTTCTTCTCCTCCTTTTGCGCTACCTGTTCAAACAGCTATTTCAGCGTCTGTCGATACATGGTGGGGTCACCAGAAGTGGCTGAGCGTATAACAGAAGCAACTCGACTGTTTTGTGTCCGAGTAATGGTTGGATGCCTCATATTGTATGATCATATTGATGAAAATGGAGCATTCGTGAGGGAATCACCTATTAATCTCCGAGCTGTCGTGAATGTTGTCAAGGAGCAGACCCAACCCCCACAGGTTTGCTCTCTTCACATATTTTTCGTTGACAAAAGGATAAAGAGTTCGCAGTCAATCAATTCCTTTATGGGATGCGACGCGCATTTGCTTCCATCAGAATCGTAAAGGTTTACCGAATGCGATGTGACCTATACAGTGACTTGTGAGCCAGCCAGTGTTCAATCAGCGTCCTCATCCTCCCAGACAAATTTGGTACCAGTTTACCGTCCCCAGAGAGCAGAAGGCTTGGCGAAGTTCGGGTACAGTTTACCGTCCCCAGAGAGCAGAAGGCTTGGCTTGCCTGGGCAGGAGCCGATCCAGGACTTGACCGCGCACATGGTGAGCGTGCCACTTGCCGCGGATTCACATCCGCAACTGAAAACATAAGGGTGCGGGTTGGCGCAGGCACAGGGAAACGCTCACCCCGCACCGATGGAGAGAGTCAGATCCTGTATCGGCTATCGCCAAAAGGCCAAGCCTTTTACCCTCCGTGGACGGTAAATTGGTACCAGATTCATCTAGGAGGATAAGAACACCTGACTTGTACATCGGCTGGCCGCTACGATTCTGAATGCAAGTAGAATGCATGTCGCATGTCAGTAAGGGGTAAATCAACGGCGAAGACTTTATCCTCTTCCCTTTTTGCTGATAAAGATCACAAAACCTTGGTCTCAGACTGAAGCCCTGTTGAATGCTCTGCGCTATACGTCGAAGCATTTCACTCAAGCCTCTACACCAAAATCTGTTCGTGCTATTCTCGCCTGAGCGCCCACTGGCCGTTGCTTTTTTTGCCTCTTGTCATGATCGATGATTCTCATGCCGTTTGAACTGCGATCAAACATTCTTCTTTGCTTCATTCCAAATTTCTGCGAGATCGGTGCCAATTTTTTTACTGCTCACTGTGTGTGTATTATTACCTGGTAGAATTCTAGTCATAATGTAGCCTATGTCATCTCTAAGTCATAATAATCTGTAATGTAACCAAAAAATCTTGTCACTGTACTGTGTGCTATCTTTACAAATTTAACAGAACTTACAAATCAATATTTATATAACATATGCTTTGAAAAAATGTATTAATTTAATAAAGTTGTTACGTACAAGACAACCTTTGTCAAACAGCCTCCTTCAAAACCGTTTATGGTAAAAGGCAGTCAACGTCAATGATAGAGAGAAATATAGTAGGTTCTTGGATTATAAGCACATCCTATAATAATATATTAAAGAACAGAGCACATTTTAAAGAGTTTCGTCGTTTTCATCATCATACAGTATGATTGAAGGTAGTGGGCGCGATGGCTGGGGGCGGGAGGTTACTGGCCACGTCACTGGTGGAACGACTGCGAGAGGGCGTTTGGTCACACCTCATCCAGTCCTTCCACCAATGATGGTAGCAGCAACCGCCGGCCCCCAACCATCGAGCCAACTGCCTCTAAGACGCGTCAGGAAGAGAATACACGCACTTGGGAAGGAATCGGTATGACTATATCGTGTCATTCTCAGGAACACAGATGACAGTAAAGTTATTGATCAGCGATAATGGAACATAATTTACTGTAATTTGCTTGAGGGAACATAGAGAAATTTTTTTCTTAGCGTATAAGTGTCGTTCATGTGCATTACAGCAATGTACATTTCTTCTTCTTTTCCATTGGTGGTGGTTCCAAAGCAGC